AAAAAAAAAAATATGGAAGAGGGCCTTACTTTCAAAGCCCACCTAAAGCCTCATAAAAGGACTGGCCCTGTGTGATGCCAATGCGTGGTCTCAACTCTACCGTAGCCTTCTTCACGACCTTGGAAGAGAGGGGTCAGATGGATGAAAAGCTGTGTTGAGAATTTTATATATATATATATTTAGTTATTTTATTTTTGGATATGATATTTCAATTTGAGGAAGAGATTACGTTAGTAATTTAGTTTTTGTGGTTAGGTTTTTTCATTGATAGTGGTTTTATCTATGCATGATAGTTAAATTAGGAGTAAATTACACTATTGTTCTAGTAAGTTAAGCTAAATGTTACTTTAATTTTTCGTAGTTTCGATTTAAATAATTTGAACTTACACTTTCAATTTTGTTCTTCTATCTTGCTCCATTAACATTTGAAATGAAGAAGAAAAAAAAAAGCACGTGCAAATTAGGACTAAAGTGGAAATCAAAAAAAAATTATAGAGATTAATCAAAAAAAAAAAAATTATAGAGACTAACACTCTGTTTGTTTGGATATTAATATTTTTCATATGTTCTAATGTTAGGCATAATAGAAAAACAAAAATCAATAGAAAATATTTTTTATGGTCAACAACAAAACAAACCTGTATGAACATAAAATGTTTTCCACGGACTAAAGTTTTACCAATGTCATCATAGTATTACCACCACTCTCACCTCCACCACCACACCACATCATCACGGCCACTGCCACTATCACCATCGCTATCACCACAGCCGACACCCCACCACCATGCCTCCACCTCCCCCTCCATTTTCGTTCCACCACCACCACCACCACCACCACCAAATACAGAAAATGTTTTCTAGAAAAAAAATTTCATAAAAAATGTTTTTCATTAGAAAATATTTCTGCCAAAATAAAAGTAATTCTTATAGTTTTTTTTTTTTTGAATTATACTTGTTTTGTACTTAGTCTTTTTTCGTTAAAATTTTTAATGATAAGTGACGGAATGGTCATAATTACAATAAAATTAGAAATGAAATTTTCCTCAAACTAGATGAACCAACGATGTAGTTTTCATTATTTTCAATACATATAATTGTAATTAGGGGTGTAAGAAATTCGATCAAACCGAATTGGTCACTTAAGCCCAATCACACAAAATTTTAGTTTTTGATCTCTTTTATAAAGATAAATTGTAAATACGTTCTTAAAATTTATTTAAAATATAAGTTGCATTTGAAACCAAACCAAGCCCCTTCTCCACAGTAAATCAACAAAATCAATCCAAACCAAACCATATTATGCGATTTGTTTAAAAAAAGTTAGGTGCCAAACTTTCTCATATGACCGAATCAAACCCAATATAGATTTTCTATATTTTAGTCAGCTCTCTCTCAACACACAATACGTTATTTGAATAAATTGATATACAAATGGTGGAGCCTATTAAATCAATGCGTTGATATAATCTTGAAATTATTAAAATTTAGTACTCAAATTTAATCACCAAAATACTGTTGATAGGCAACACAATTCTAAAAGATGACATTAGAATACTCAAAATTTGGGTTAGAAATTTCAATTTGACCAAATACTTTTTTTTGTTTAATTTTTTTTTTTATCAGCAAAAAAAAGAAACTTTCATTGATATAAATCAATGTACAAAGAGGAGCTACATCAATAAAGATGAGAGAGAGGTGAGTGCAAAAAAATATTATAATAAGATAAAATAATCCCAACTAAATTAATACCAAAGAACAAGTTCAATCATATGCCAGCACCTCACCATATTAGTGAGAAACCAACCCAAACAAGAAAACAAAGGAAAATCCCACAAGCAACAAAAGAAACAAAAGAAAAACACCCAGCCCACAACCTACACACCCATCAGACTTACTTGTAAGCGGAGGTTCTGATTTGTTGAATATTGGAAACAAACTCCTGTGCTGAGGCCTCGTGTGGAACAGGCTTATTTAGTAACTTTTTGGCTATTTGGCTAAAAAGGTAGGTAAAAAAAACTTGTATGTTTGGGATGACTTTTTGGCTAATTACGAAAAGATGTGCAAAAAGTAGAGAGAAAAGAGAATCTTTGACTTTTTGGTATGAGTTGTTGGCTTTTTGGCTAATTTAGTAACTTTTTGGCTAATTGGCTAAAATAGCCTCTTGCCAAACGAGGCCTAAGTCTGATTTACAGAGGTTTAAATATTTGTTCACTATGTACAACATTTTTTGTGATGTTTCTGAATGCTCAGCTGCATCTTTTGAGTAGATAGCATAAAAAGTTTTCCTCTTCACAAACTTTCTTGTTTGCAAAGTACGAACCATATATCCTTACGTTACCTTATTTTTTGAAAAATGTTTTCTGGAATAATTGAAAGTTCTATTTTTTGGTTTTCATTTCTATTTGTATCTGACACATTATTATCAATATGATATGACGCAGCTTATCTATGTTCCAAATTGTGTGGCCCATACCAGGTGAGATTCAAATCGTACCTAGTTATTGAAGAAAGTGATGTGAAACTGTAAAATGAAGGGTAATAAATCACAGATTCAATATTTTACATTTTACTCAACTGTTCAAAGTTGCAGGCACTTGATTTGGGGTTTGCACTTGAACCTTTCAAAGTTCATGTATAACACAAGCCTAACATTGTTTTTGATAAATATAACACAAGCCTAACATTTGAACAACCTTTATTGAACCTCTAATATAGAGTGGAAGCTATGAGCTTTTGTAACGATATTAATTGTTAAAAATTGGTTTGTATCTGTGTATCATGTCCTTCACATATGATTCATTCGGTAAATTACAGAAATTTTGATTCTTGGCTGTGGGAGGAATATTCAGCAAGTACATCCTGAACTTCGGCGCTTCATTCGGTCTACTGGAATGAAACTTGAAGTTCTTGACTCGGTAATGATCTCTTTATTTGCTCCATTTTAATAATTTATAGAATTTTGTTTCATTTGGGGACACTATAATGTGGGTGTGAGTTTATAATGAGAATGAATAACTGATACAGACATTGTGAGCAACATTTGACCACAAAGGCAACATAATGCATAGATCATGAAACAACTATTGTCATGCAGGTTCGCAGCTGATAGAAAATTTGTTTCAGTATGTATGAAATATCACATAAAACATGTCACCTAGTTAAGATTCATGACTCTGGTTCACAGTTCTGGTCTTATTGAGATCCAACATACTTGGAGACAACAAAAGATTGCTTGAGCATGTTGAGATTTTGAAATGGCAATACTTTTACACTAGATGGAATTGAACCAAATTTTGGAACTTTATGTCGTGGTTGGAATTTTAACTCCTCGTGTATTGATTCTGTACTTTGTTTTTGCTTTTTTGGTGACCAAAGGGAATGGTTTCTCAAAAACCTTCAGGCGGTAGAGTTAAGAGTGACTCCAAACAATAATAATCCATGTGAATATATAGTGTTACCAGTTAGAACTGACGTCCTTGCTGATGACAATTAGAATGTTGCCTTGAACCAGAATGATTAAAAGAGGTGTTACACCAAATTAACCTCCTATGTGGCTGTGTTGGTTCTTCATCATGTGGAGAAGATGATTATAATGTATGTGTTCTGTCTTTGACAACAACGGGTAACTTTGGAAAGAGTTTCTCCTAAATTTTGGATTCAGATAGAAGTGCAAAACTTTACTACACGAATAGGTTGAGATAAAGATATGATAGTTGAGGAGGGATTACAGTAATCTTAACCTACTACCGTGTTCTTCTTTCTACATTGCACTTATAATATTCTTGTATTTTTTCATTTATTTCTGTTTCATCTTCCATTTTATTCAATCCTTCTTGTTAAACAAGGTTCATTCCTCTTTAACTCAAAAAAATTCTAGGATAAAGGCTTGAGATCTATGAAGCGTGGACACTCTAAAATTAGGCCGTGGCGGTGTCCGACACGGGGACACGCCGGGCACACGTACGGGACACGCTAGATGGCGTGTCCCTTTAATTTAATGATTTTTTTGTAGGAGACACAGCAGGGACACGGCATGGGACACGGCAGGGCTTTTTTTTTTTTTTTTTTTATAATCTTTTGCCTCTCTCTTATTTAGTGCTTTTGTGAAAAATATTGTTGGATGTTGAATGTTTCCCCCTTCTCGTCTTAGTTCTTGTTATCGTTTATTATGACTTTTTTATGAATAGATGATCTATTAATTTGTTTAAATGTAATGGTTATGTTTATTCAATTAATGTTACTATGTACTATGTTAGTGTTTGTTAATTTTAATTTAGGATGAAAGTAATATGAATCTACATAACACATAAAAATATATAAAATAAATAAAATGAAATTTGCCGTGTCCAATTTTCCGTCATCTAGAGTCATCAGGCAAACATTTAATTCAAAATAATCTAATCACACAGACATCCATGTATCAATCATGATGAAGAAACACAATCCAAATAAGAAAATTGTCGAAAAGAACAACTTTAAAAGCACTATAAGAATTTTCCAAGTATAAGCTTAGCATTAGAAAGATAAACAAATATAGTCTTATGCATTTCTTGCCGTCCAGCGCAGGACGAACACAAACCTTGTTCAATTGAGTAAAGAATTCTTTATTTATTTTTCTTTCGTTCAACTGAGTAAAATTTAGTTTTTGATTTCTGAGCTACCAATGAAATTTCAATCAGAATTAAATGTGCCACAAAGAAATGAGGAAAGTTGTAAAGAACAAATGAAAGGTCAAGTGGAAAGGCATGATTGTCTACACTGGAGCCCAAAATATGACACCATATAGAACTGAATGGTGAAAGTAAGAATTTATAGCTGATCCATATTTAATAATTAAGATTTTCCTAAATTGGGCAGAGATGAGTTTGTTTCTCTGATAAATCCTTCTTTTTATTTTCTTTCAATATTTTATTTTTAAAATGACCTTTAGTACCTCATTTCCTCTTACCCAATAACAAGAAGGATATTAAATCAGTCTTCACCAAATCTTGGGGATACAAACCGCTGAAAACTTACGATTAAGAGAAACAACATGTTTGCAATACAATAGATTTGAATTAATATTATGATGTTCTCATCAAACAAAGTGGCACGTATCAAGAAAGGGGAAAAAAAAGGACAACAAAACTAGAGAGAAGGAGAAAAATATGAAAAGAAGTATGCAAACCATGATAAAGATGTCATTAATCAATAAACTTTAAAATGCAGTACAGAGAAGCAAATGCATAGTAAGAGAAGGAAAATAACTCACATAGCTCTGCAATGTAGATATGACCAAGAACATGAATCCCATAAGGGTAATCTGGAGGGGAAAAAAAGGTGGCACAACCTATGAGTAAAGCAGTAAAAAGCATAATAAATTGAACTTTACATATCAAGAAAATATGAGATGGTTAGCAAAGAGTGTTTTACCATATTTGGTCTGGAAAAGCACCCCGCCCAAAAAAAAAATGAAAAGAAAAAGAAGAAAGAAGAGCAGTTAGTTACTTTCAGTGAAAGCTTGCAAGGTTTGCTCTGACAAACATTAAAAATTAAAGGAAAGGAAGTCATTTATTCTCCACTTGTTTGATATTTTCAATTAACCATTTTTCACAGAGACACAGTTTACACCCCACCTCACAATACAATATCCCAACATAGCATAGAACAACATAAAAGAGTTTCAGTTCTGCCCAAGGACCACAACTGAAACACCAAAAACTCAATTCAAAAGAATCTTTAAGTAACAACTAAATAATTACCATAAAATAAATAAATAAAAAGAAACAAGATCCATTCATTTTACTATAACAATGCAGAACACTAATATTACACACCCAAAATTTATATCCAGAATTTTACCCAAAAACATTAAAATCCAGATTCATTCCATGCATGGACCCTACAATACACCAACTAAATCTCAAACACAATTTTCCTTTCTGGGGAGATTTCTTGACAAAAAATTTGGGTGAGTAGATTTCTCAAATGTAAAATAAGGAGAAAACCAAATTCATATAGAATGATATGATAATGAGCCTCCTAAAAGGAACTAGTAAATTCATTGAATTGTACCAAAAATAAAAAGGTCATTTAATTCAATGGAATTTCTTGGTTGTTCTCTGTAAAATACTCCTCCCAATATGATCCATAGTGATGATTTTTTGATTTCCAATAAATAGGTGTAAATAAGATATATTATTTTTTATATATAAATTATATTTATAACATATCTCTTTTTTGATACAATGAAGGAAAATAAGAGGTCCAAGTCATAACTTCTAATGAAGCACATAAAACTTTGGTCTCTACACTAATCTCAATAATTAACTTGTAAGAATTTCAATATCACATATCTTTCAAGTTGCATCAGCAATTATAGAGCCATCCAATAATTCTCTATATACAAACCTAAACAACAAAAACTAATTAATAATGTAATGTATGGTTTCATCATCAATAAAGATTTTCTTTGCTGATTAAAAAAAAAAAAGTTTCCATTTTTAATCCAACAGATGATAATAGTTAAATTTGACTCACATGAATGCAATTTGGGTTTTGTAGTTGTCTCATTTTAAAATATTGATGCCATATAATTTATTGTTTGGTTTATTTTTATGAAATTTTAGTTAGGAAGGTTGTCATCTTTTTTTTCTTTCTTTTTTTAAATCAAAGCATCGTTCTCTATCTAAACACCTTGAGACCTATGTGCAACAGTTATCTTTGGCATTAGAGTTCCAGTAATAAACTTTATTTCATGAGGATTAAACTATTTGTTCCTCAATTGTGCAAAAAATATCTTTTTCTGTAACTGATAGTCCTTTCAGCAGCATGTGCTATTTTTGCATCAAATAATGGAAATCAAAGAGAAAACGTGAGACACAGAGATATAAATAGAGATTTCCTATTATAAGTTAAAAAAAATACCTAGATGAATCAGAAATGGAGAAGACGAAATAGAAATGGCGAAGATGGACGGAGGCGCAGACGGTGGAGAGACGACGACGGCGGACGGCAAGGTCGACGGTAAGGTGAGGTGATTGGCGCAACTGAGCTTTGATCAAATTCGACTGAGGGGTGTGAAAGAGGCGCGTATTTCTGATTTAGATGTGTTTGAATTAGTAAATTATCCCCTACCAACCTGTTGGTCGGCTAATGGCTGTGTGCGAATTTAGATACCAAAACGACGTCGTTTTGGTATCAGCGACCAAATTATGTTGGTCGCTGAAAGATCAAACAGCTTCCGCCCAGATTTTATTATCCCGCCCAGATTTTTGGCGACAAAAATTGTAATTTGGTCGCAAAAAATTACTTATTTGCAACAAAAAAATTTTGGTCGGTAATAGAAAAAATTTTTAGCAACCATATTTTAATTTGGTCGGCAAATGACATTTTTTTGCGACCAAATTTTTTTTGGTCGGCAAAAGTGGTCGCCAAATGTGTAAATTCTTGTAGTGTCTCTCTCAACACACAATACGTTATTTGAATAAATTGATATACAAATGGTGGAGCCTATTAAATCAATGCGTTGATATAATTTTGAAATTATTAAAATTTAGTACTCAAATTTAATCACCAAAATACTATTGTTAGGCAACACAATTCTAAAAGATGACATTAGAATACTCAAAATTTGGGTTAGAAATTTCAATTTGACCAAATACTTTTTTTTTGTTTAAATTTTTTTTTTATCAGTAAAAAAAGGAAACTTTCATTGATATAAATCAATGTACAAAGAGGAGCTACATCAATAAAGATGAGAGAGAGGTGAGCGCAAAAAAATATTATAATAAGACAAAATAATCCCAACTAAATTAATACCAAAGAACAAGTTCAATCATATGCCAGCACGTCACCATATTAGTGAGAAACCAACCCAAACAAGAAAACAAAGGAAAATCCCACAAGCAACAAAAGAAACAAAAGAAAAACACCCAGCCCACAACCTACACACCCATCAGACTTACTTGTAAGCGGAGGTTCTGATTTGTTGAATATTGGAAACAAACTCCTGTACTGAGTAGAAGATCCCTTCGTTGCTTTTAACCCAAAGAGCCACCCTAACTTTTGTCAGTTCCTGCAACTCCACCAAATTGGGCTGAATATTATTGAATTTACATTCATTCCTATGCCTCCAAACCGATCACAACTCTATAGATTGTAACAATGTTCCCTGGAGTAGTGTGTCTTTATTATCACCATGTGGAGAATCTGCAAAGATAGCAGAAATAAAAGTGACTCAAAATGTGGAATGTACAATTCATAAAATTGGTTAGAAGCATATATTTCTCTATGCCATTGTGGAATTTGTCTTGTTCAACTAACAAATTGGTGTGAACAAGTAGAGCTGAACACGGTAACCTTATCGTGCACACCCTAAAAAAAAGTATGTATCATATATAAGTTATGACATTGTGAGTTTAACTATCACAAATGTCATTACTCAATTTTATGAGAGTTGTAACCATAAAAAAAAAAAAGAGTTATAACCAAAAATCACATAAATTATAACTAAAAAGTTTTTGAATTATAATCAAAATAACGTCATAACCAACATTACAATCGTTATAACTAACGGTACAATAAGTCACACCTAAAGACAACATTGGTTGAAACTAAGGTGCATATAGAATTTCCCAAGTTGTAAACAAGCGGATTATTAGAATATTCAAGTTTGGTTTGAAAATTTAACAAGTTTTAAAATGTGTTTAAGTTTAACATTTTTTTGTAAATATATATATTTTTTTTACAACCATTTATATGCAATTTCCCCTTAGAAGAGTTCTATGTGTAAGATTTCTGAAAGCTTTTCTGTATATTCAATTGTGTATGTTTACAAAGAGTTCATCAGTTTATATAGCCGTAAATCTATGACTGAAAAATGTATGACTGGAAAAAAGATATAGAAAGATTTACACCACAATCTTTCCTAATGCCTAATTCCTATTTACACTACAAGTTTTCCTTATGCCTAATTCCTAATATACACAATCATGCCATATATACAATATACTCTTACACTCCGTTCAAACTCAAGGTGTTTTAGCAAAAAACACTAAAGTTTGCTAAGAAGAAACTGAAATCGAGCGGTAGTATGAGTCTTGGTGGAGAAGTCCGCAAGTTGCAAAGTCGAGGAGACGAAAGGAAGCAAGATAGAGTCAGACTACAGATGATGTCAGACAAAGTGACAATCAATCTCCATGTATTTCGTCCATTCATGGAAGACAGTATTGTGGGAAATCTAAATAGCACTGCGGTTGTCATAATAGAGAGATGTCGGAGAAGACTGAGGTACACCCAAATCAGAAAGAAGACAACGAAGCCAAACAAGCTCAGCAGTAGCATGAGCCATAGAACGATACTCAACTTTGGCAGTAGCGCGAGCAATAACAGTTTGTTTCTTTCTTTTCCAAGAGATTAAGGAATCGCCAAGAAACATACAGAAACCAAATGTGGACTTGCGATCATTAATATTACCAGCTCAATTAGAATCAACATAGGCCACTAAGTCTAGAGAGGAAGTAGAGGACAACAGTAAGCCCTGAAATATGGTATCTCGAAGATAGCGAAGAATACGAACCAAAGCAGCCTAATGGGTAGAACGAGGAGTAGAAACGAACTGACTAACCACATGAACAACATAAATAAGATTAGGGCGAGTGACAGTCAAATAAACTAAACAACTCACAAGCTCACGATAGAAAGTGGGATTATCCAAAGGGACACCATCAGTAGAGTTGAGCTTCACATTAAGCTCAATAGGTGTATCAGAAACCTTAGTATTAGTAAGACCGGCACGGTGAATAACCTCATTGGCATACTTGGCCTGAGACAAAAAGTAGCCTTTTGGAGAAAAGGCAACCTCAATACCAAAAAAATATCGCAATAGATCCAGATCTTTCATTTCGAAAGTGCAGAAGAGATGTTGTTTGACCTCAGAGATAACAGAAGAGTCAGAGCCAGTGATGATCATATCATCCACAAGGAGTAAGAGAGCAACAAAACTAGCCAAGATATGTCTCAGAAACAAAGCAAAGTCGGAAGTAGAAAGATGAAACCCAAGCTCGGTAACAGCAGTTTGAAAGCGATCATACCAAGCACGAGGAAATTGTTTCAAACCATACAAAGCATGCCAAAGATGACAAACCTGCTTAGAGGAGCGGAGAAGGCTATGGGGAAGACGCATGTAGACCTCCTTAATGAGATGACCATTAAGAAAAGCATTCTTAACGTCCATCTGATAGAGAGGCCATGCCGAACAACAGCAACAGAAATCAAGGTACGGACAGTAGTCATCTTGGTAACAGAGGCAAATGTCTCCTCATAATCAATACCATACTCCTACGAGAAACCCTTGGCAACCAAGCGAGCTTTGTATCGCTCGAGAGAACCATTAGAATGAGTCTTGACTTTATAGACCCAATTGCAACCAACCATATTCTTGCCAGCAGGCAAAGGATCCAACTCCCATGTGTTAGTCTTCTACAAGGCAAACAACTCATTCTCCATAGCTTGAACCCAATTAGGATCCTAACAGGTTTCCGTGTAAGACTGAGGTTCTGAAAAGGAATGAATAATAGACAAAAAAATATGATAGGAAGCATAAAAACATGTATTAGACCAACCCAACCTGTTTGGAAAACGACGCTCACGAGTAGGATATCAGTGTGTAGCAGGATCAGAGTCGTCAGAAGTAGAAGGAGTAACAACAGGAGTAGAGACAACTAGTGGTGGAGGAGCCTTGCGACGAGAATAGACCAACAATGGAGGGAAAGAATAAACTGAAGGAGGAGAATGAGCCATAGGTGACGCAGACGGAAAAGTAGGAATGGCCTCAAAAGGATCAGTGGAGGGGTAATCTACAATAGGGGTAAAAGGGGGAGAAGATGGAATGAGCTCAAAAGGAACAGTGGAAATGTACTCATTAGACGGGACTTCAGAAGGAAATGGGTCAATGTGAACCAAATCCTCTTTGGAAACTGGAGCAGTGGGAGGGGGAAGCTGATAGCAAGACATACGTTCGAGAAGGCAATATGACGGGAGACATAAAGTAATGAGAAATAGGATCGTAATAGCGGTAGCTTTTCTGACTAAGACTGTAACCCAAAAAGACACACAAGACAGACCGGGCACTGAGTTTGGTCCTATCTTTACGGGAAAGGAGAACAAACAAGCAGACCCAAAGATACGTAGGAGGGAACAATTGGGAGGTTAAGAATACAAAGCCTCATAAGGGGATCGATCAGCGAGTAGGGGAGTTGACATGTGATTAAGGAGGAAAGCAGCGGTAAGAACTGTCTTACCCCAGATTAGTGCTAGAATAGAGGCAGTGAAAAGAAGAGATCGAGCTGTCTCAAGGAGATGACGGTGTTTATGCTCAGCACAACCATTTTGGGTAAGGGTATCAGTACAGGAGGTTTGGTGAATGGTGCCCAATTTGGCCAAATACTCACAGAATTCAGTTTTAAAGTATTCCCCACCCACATCAGACCAGAGTATTTTAATTATGGTCCCAAACTGTGTAGTGATTATAGACTGAAAGGTATGATATATCTGGTAAAAGTCAAATTTATGAGCCATAAGATAAACCTAGGTATAACGATATAGACACCCCATTTTTGACGGCCCTTAAGACTTGGGCGCCACCGATTGATTACCCAATGATGAAGTTTCACGCTTGTCATGCACTCGATTTCCTCAGCAAGAAGCCTCAGTTTAGAGCCTCAAAAACCTACAACCCTTGCACCACTTTTGGACCCAAACAACATTTTTTCCAAGCTTGACCACCCAGAAGCCTACAGGCCACAAATGAGTGTACGGCCATCTCTTTAGTGGCTGGCCGGCTACTTGCGTCAGTAAAAATAGATATTTTTGCCAGCTGTGCCAACTGTCTCCACATGTGCATGCACTGCACCAGCTGTTTCTATACTGATATTTCGGAGGTAGTAACATATTTTTCTATATATACTTGACCACCCCTCTAGAATTTAGGTTAGATAATTTTGGTGAAGCAAAATTCTTGAAAAAAATATCTCTCTCTTCCTTGCAACCTACACACATCTAACCTAGACTTCCTAAACCAAATTTTAAGGGTTCTTTGTTGAGGTTATTAAGCTTGCATATTAGCTCTTGAGGGTGAGAAATTGGTGGTTTATAACTCCAAGGGATTATTCCTCTTCAAGAGATATACTTCTAGCTTCTTTCTTTTACTTATTTCTTATATTTTCTTACTATTTTTGGGCTGTTTTTTTCAATTGTGTTTATGGGCTGAAACTTGTGGTTAAAGCCTATTAAAGGTAGAGGGATCAATCACCCTTCTTTGAACCTTATTTCCTAA